TCATCACTTCAGACATCAATCCTTATCGTATATACAAAAACTTTTTCAATAAATTACGATGAGAGTTGGCCGTATTATGCATGAGTCTTTTCTTTTCTTTAAAGTGCAGGATATGAAATTTTAATGAGTTCATATTTTCTCTTTTACACAGATAAAACAATCTCATGTCATAATTAATCATAATTAATCATAAAACAGAAAGTAGTTATGAGCTTATAGTATATTGTGCAATAATCTTAATTACAGCAATTTAGAAGTCTAGAAAATCGATAGGGGCTCAGTGTGAGGGGAAAACTTCATTATAAAATAGCGATTTCGATCAATCTTTTCCTGTTTTAAAACTTTGATAATAAAAAAGTAGATTTATCGATCCTTGCCTTGCTTTATCTCGCCGACTTTTTTTTCTCCCTGAAGCGAGCACGTCGCGCGGGCCTCGGTCCCAGGGCCCCTGTCCTCCGCGAAAGATTTATGCTACTGACATTGAAATTAAATTACGCTATAAATTAACTTTAAATTCGTGCTTTCGATGCACCCCGACTTACCCGTTCCCAAAGCCTCATTCATCCAGGCTTGGGCCCGCTCGTAATTGTTAAACAATCATAGAGAATATGCTTGCATTCAGTATCTTGTTGCATTTCGAGAGCTCAGTGATACAAGCTAGTACGGAGTGATTCACACCGCTATCTGTTCAGTCGAGTGTCGCTGTGTGAATGATAGACGACCACCTTTTAGCTATACGCAACGGCGTGCCGCATTCTCTATTCAAAAACAAGTATACTGTCGAGTGCCGAATATTAATCGATATTATTTTGGAATGTTTAACATTTAATAAAGTTACATAGATCGAATATTCTATATATTTCAAAAATATTTTAACGAATATGGGTTATAGAAATTTCAAATTTAAAGTTATTTAAAGAGTAAAATTTAGATTAATATCATTTTAAAATATTACAATAATAATGTAAATTACAATAATTATGTAAATTAATTAATTTATTGTTTCTTCTCGCCAAACTTTTACATTTTAAAAAATACAAAATTGTATAATTTTAATAAATCAAAATTCTTGTGATTTCTTAAGTACTTAAAAAAATTAACAAAATTAAATTAAATCAATGCAGCAAATGTAGCAAACAATATTGTTTTTGTGATTTATTAAAATTATGTGGTTACGATTTTTACATCTAAGTGTAAAAATGTGTGTATGTAACATAATAATTTAATTTAAAGGTTTAATATTAGAGATTTAATAGTTTTTTTATATGTAGGATAATTAATCCGTTTTCATTAAACAAAAGATTAAATTCATAAAATCGTTAAAACTTGCTATTAATAATGAACTGTTTAATGTTAACTGTTTATTCTGTACTTTGACGCATGTAGTACAGTGTAATGGAACGTTAGTTTGTAATCAAGTTATCAGTTTAGTAAACAAATTGCGAAATTTATTTAATTAATTTATCGCACACTCTAGAAAAATATTTTGTCACCAAAGGGAGTCACTTTGGTATCAAATTTATGTTAAACGGTGCTATTGAGTGAGCCAGTATCATAAATCAGAGAGAGACTCAGTGGGAGCTAATAATAGCAGAATTTACGGAATCACAAACACCGCGTGAAATTGCAAACGCAATCAATCCGCGCTTGGAAAATTTGTCATTCTCATGTACCAGTTTGACCGCTTCAATTAAGGATAATCGAGATAAACGAGCGACGCAAGTTTATATGGGTCGCGCGTGCTTTATCACGAAAAAAGCAATGCATTAATTGCTGATACCGTTCAATCGCCAATTATATTTACATGTCGATCTAATATCACAATTTCTGTGGTATTTCGTGGGTACTAACCAAATTATTAAATTAAGCAAACAAAGTATTATATCTTTTATTCTCTCTCTCTCTCTCTTTTTCTTCGTCTTTCTTTTATTGCTTTTAAAAAATTAATTTATAATTATTAAATTAATAATTATACTCTCTTTATATAGCCCCATATTTTTTTTATATAGAATAAATAAAAACTAAATTTGCTATGTGCAATGCGCTTCCCGACATCTCGTCGTACGAAAATACAAAGAATTGATTTATTACTATTTTAACGACCAATTTTAATAGCGATTTTAATGAGCCAAGATGCACTTCGGACTATACCGAAACTTATGATCCTTCGTTTTACTGTAAGATCGTTATAGGTATAACTTCATCCGTCGTCGCAGTTGATACTGGATGCGTCGATTCTGTTGGTCTATGCCTGGTCTCTTTGACAGATTCGCATCCCGTTATATGGAGGGCCCAATGTAATTTATGATTGCTACGCACAACGCAGCATATACACAAACGCACACGCACGCACACACAAACACACATTAAATCAGAAAAAATAACTACACAGTTGAAAGACGATCGCGCTGTTGAATATCATATAATTGATAGCCGCGATCGATTCTCTTTTTCCAAAATTGCAGTCGGTTCCCTTCTTAATAGAATAACGATAGTATGTGGGATCGAAGCGGTTCGAAGGAATCCTTGGATTGATAATAAGATGCTTTATTAATAAAACGGAAGAATCAACAGAATGCCGTGCGTGACCGTCAGGTACAATTTATCGTACGTAAACTTAATGCACGTAACTTAATTGCGTGCGAACGTAACGCCGAATGCGTAAGGGTGATCGTGATGTCGCGCGAGTGCGTTCACATCGCCGAATATACATATAATTTATTTTTATATAAATAAATACACCGCGTATACGTATAATGTATATATATATGTATGCATATATCTATATATCATGTGTATGTGCATGAGTATACATATTGCGTGTAAGTGCGTGTAACTTCGACTACGCCTAATTACGATCGCTACGAGCAAGAGGGTCATGATATAGTCTGTGAGCTGTTAGTACGTACGCGATATGTTTGGTAACTGGTAGAGTGTAAGACTAGTGTTAATGTAAGTTTCATATCGTAGCGCCTAAAGGTGTAAAGTGTTTTACAGAACATTGCGGAAACCTCGAATCGAAGGCAGTTGGAATCCTTTTTGAGCTTATAAATATGGAAAAACGAAGAAAAAGTTGTTGCGATTCTCGTTTATACCGTTCGATGTTTTTATGCTTCATGTAATTCATTGTTAGATGGAGAATTTGCCTAAGGGGTGAATAGAGGTTTTAACGATGCAAGAGAGGGCGATATCTATGTGAGAATGAGCGAGAATCGAAAAATTTTGCTGCTGGTGATTCGTGGTTGGCTGCGATAAATACTTAAGTTCTATAGGACGACGATGTTTGTATATAATAAATAAGTAGATCGTAATAAACGAACGGAATTGAGGACGGAAAGTTCTAACGCAAATATTAAGCGTCAACTTAAAATAAATACGAATAAGTATGAAACAAACTGAATGTATCGGAGCGATTGATTACGAGACTTTCCACCTTTGATTTCTGTATCTAGCGCAATAAATATGATACTAAAGAGAAAACCTATTCTTAACATCCACGAATCTATAAATTACATCGACGTCATACGTGTACAAGATGTCTTGGAAGCTGCAAGCTTTCTCTCCTAAGAGACGGATAAAATATCTGCTCCAATATCAAGGCCTTAATTGATTGTGAGCAACGAAAGATTTTACGTAATTAACTGTCAGTAATATTTATACTAACGTTATCGAATTTCATTTAAGCTAACGATCATTTAAGATCAAAGATAAGTATTTTTAAAATTGCGATAATCGTATCGGCCGTTGTAAAATTACAACAAAAGGAACGTCAAGATTGAAAAGGACGTCTGATTGAAGAGATCTATTGCCTCTGAGACATCCTGTATTTCTTTTATTTACGTTGTACGATAAATAATATTATTGTGTGCATGTAGCACAATCATAAGCTACACATTTGTGGCGCAATTAAATCGCGCAGACCGGTCCAAAGTCGATCTGAGATGCTTTCCGCCCTCATTGATAACTATGCAGCTAGCGTTCCGCAATGATATCGCACCGCGATAATCATAAAACGAGTTCGTTCGATATTTAGATTGCGCGAAGAAAGCGCGTACGCGAATCGAGTGACGTCATAAAATAGTGAGTGAAACGCGAATTCCAATTCGTACACTCGCTGCATTTGCGATCGCAATAACTGTCGTTGAGGACGCAAGCGGGTCAAATGCGCGATCGGAATCGTTGAACGATTGTTTATTCCGCTCAGACGTGTAACATGTGTAAATATACACATATTTGTTATATATATGTATATATCTACACTTTTACATATTTATGTATATGTAATGTAATTATATATACTGGCACATATGAAATTGGCGCGTTTTTTTCATCGTGGATGAAAGCATGGCAGGACATAAAGAGAACTGCCTGGTTGAGCCTCTGTTATGTGGTGATAACAAGAGTTTGTTATCACCGCGAATGACAATCGTCGATCTCGAGCAAACGCAATGTAAACGAATATTGAAGCGACCATAACGGAGATGTAAAACCGATTTTCTCACGCATACTACGAAAAACTAAGAAAGTGACCATAAATTCATTCTCAGCGTAACTGATTGATGATTTTGTGAAAAATCTGAGAACGATTTTTCTTTTCGTCAAAAATCAAATGCAGATTATTTGAAAAATTTCAGCACGTGGAACATGCGCAAGATTCGCGATTGTCCTGTATAACGCGATTATTACAATAATAATGATCATTGATATGAAAAAGAAGATATTATTAACTGCGTTGCTAATTACTTCGGATTCAATTGTTGCACAATTATATAATCTCATTGTTAATCAAATTACAGCTGTAACGCTTGTTGCAACGCAATATTTTATGCACTTTCGCAACGCGCGTGAAATAAAATAAAATAAAATAAAGGAATAACCTATATATATTAAGTGAAATAAATAATAAAATAGATTAATTAAATCTCAAAATTAAATTATGCATGATCATGACGTATGCATTGAAATGTAACAATTATAATAATTACATATAATGAGTGTGATCAACATCGAATTATTTCGATGATTTAAATAAATAATCAATATGATAAACGTACATTCGTACATCCGCTTATCGTAAACTCGTCTCCGTGTACTTATAATTCAACCGTTATCAACAAATCTATAAATACATAAATTCGTTTAGATTGTCCAGTATTAAAGAATATATAGAGAGGCACTCAATATCACGAAACGACAAATAAAATAAATAACGTAAATTCTCGACACCTCGTTTGTCAACGTGTTGTAGTTAAGCATATCTTCCAGGTAGCTCCTATACTGAAAAAGGATGCTGCGAGAGTCAGCCATAAAATCTCTCGAGTTCCCATCTCTTGCGCGTCTAGCAACATTCAGCCATCGATTTTCACCCAACGACTTACGGTATGAACCGCGCGTAAGCAACGAATAAATCGACTTCGTTCCTAAGAAAATTCATCTCTACTGAGAATGGCGGTTGATCATCCGCCAACGAGCGCAACGAGGATTCCCACGGATATCCTTAGCTGCCAGCATCCGCCAGTCAAGCTTGTTTCTCTTACAGAAGAGCTGTCGCAAACAGCGGATCTTTAATTGATCTCGATGCTCGTAACTGAATTAGACATGCGACGCTCATCCTCTGCTACTGTCGATGATGACACGGTGAAGCCGTTCAAACCGCTCTCGACCAGACTCATGAGAGTCTCCTTGCGTGAGGAAACGTGTTTCTCAGCGCGTGCCTTTTCTTCCAATTTTCTCTTCTCAGTGGCCAAATCGACAGCGCCGTTCTTTGTGTTTTCTCGAATTAACTGTTCCAACTTGGATAGTTGTCGTTCAGTTGCGCTCTCCACAATCTCGTTGTTTTCTATTGGTACACCATGTTTGTTCACCGTGGGTTTATAAGTCTTTACCTTTGAGTGACCCTGAATAATGAGATACATCGGGCCACGGATCGGTTTAGATGGTTGCTTGTAATGAGAGAAAATAGGATCGGTGGTGAGATTCGGAACGGTCGTAGTTCGTGGTGGGATCATTGACGATGGCGCAAGCATCGTCTTCATCTTCGAGGTCTCTTCAGCATTGAGGATCTTCATCAGAGGCGATTGATTGGGCTTTGTGTTTTCGTGCTGATCCATGGTGTCCATGGTGGGCGTGTACTCCATAGTCGATGAAATTGTTGATGAGAAAGACGGCGAGGTGGTCACAATTGTCGCAGGTAATCGAGACGGTCGATGATCGATCAGCTGCTCGTTGGATTCAGGAATCTGTGTGCTGAAAGTTGACGGCGATGGCGGGCTGGTGAATGTCACGGGGAATGGTTGAGGTAGTCGTTGATGAGTGTGTTCCATGCTCGACAATGGTACCATCATATTGTTTATGGACGGCGCATGCAGGTGCGTCATAGGTGGCGACATGTGAGACATCGATACGGATGAGGACGGTCGGAAACTGGGACGCATACTGCCGATGAAATGTATCATGGTGTTCGGTCTGGTCTGAGGACGCATCATGGATTGAGCCGCCTGCGGAGAGACGTACATATGTGAGGAACTATCTATGTGTCTGGGTGGCATTACTGAAGCAGATGGCGGATGCAGAGGTTGATGCTGTGAGGACAATATCGTTCTCATCGGTATGGAGGAAACGGACGGATGATTCTCTGAGAGAATCGGCGAACTCGTTATCGCGTTCCTTATTGGTTGCAATTGAGATTTCGGCACTTGATGAGTAGTCTTTGTTATTTCAGACGTAGTAGGATTCTCCCAAGCGGTGTTATGCGTCGTCGGTGAATCCGAAGAACTTGCAGAAAAATTTTTCTCAACGTAATTCGTCGGAATTACTACGGCGACCGGATCCTTCTTTGCTTTATGTGTCTCCAGATCCATGATACTGGATGGCGAATTCGCGACAACAATATGCATCTTTTGCGAGGGTTGCACGTCGGTTGTAGTTTCTTCCTCTTGCTCAGTGGAATCCGTAGTCGTGGTAGAAGCGGTAGAAGTTTGTGCGACACTCTCTGTCGTTGAAGATGTCGCCTCGGTGCTGATCTCCTTCTGACCTATGATCACTTCTTCATTTTCGTTTTTACTGGCATCCACGATGATGTTCGCGTTCTGGCTAATGACGACCTCCTGATTGGACGAGGCCGCGGCGTGATGATCGTAATGATCTCTAGAGTAATCCGGAGTCTGCCATGTGACCTGATTGATATCCAGAGGAAATATTGTGGAAGATGAAGTGGGTCCGTTGTTGCCAAGCCATCCGCCAGACAGAGTCTGCGTCGATTGATATATTAGATTTGACTTCTCGAAGGACACGGACGGTGCGGTAGTTGCTTCGTATCTCGATTTCGTATTCTGCGATGCGGATGGCAAGTAGACGCTCTTGATAGTCTCGACCTTGCTCGGTGGTGTCTTCGAGGAGGAATACGGTCTTGACGAAGGTACAGGGGAATAGCGTCCATAATCTTTCGATGGTGTTCCGTAATATTGAGTATCCTGAAGAACAGGGCCTTCCTCTGTCTGCGTGCTAAATGAGGATAATGTGTCCGGATAACCGAATATCTTATCTTTAGACGTGCCAACGTTAAAACTGGTAGATGTTTCAACCTTCTGAATCATCGGCGGCGGCATCATCATAGTGTACGGCTTTATCTTTTGACTGTAATACGGGCTCGGATAATAACTAGCCGGCAACGACTGTAATCTGTTCTGATTTCTGTAGTCGATCAAACCGTTCCGGAAGTTAGTAGTGCGCACAATTTTAGGTGGTTCAGCGCCAGTGCTGCCAGTAAAGTCATTCCTGTAGGAAATCGAATCTTGACTACTGGTCCGCGTGAACTTGGGACCATCCACAAACTTGAGGAACTGCTCGGGTATCTTCGGGCTGGTTTTCTTCGCGGTCACACCCAATACAAGAATATCGCGCTTCGATGACGGCTCCGTTGTGTGCTGCTGCGAGTCCAACCAGTATTGTACCTTGTCGAGGACCGGCGGCACGTAGTCGAAGGTCGGATTGTTCTTCAAAGGGTCGCCGCGTCCCAACGGCGTCCACTCGTCATAGTCCATCCTGGGAGAGAATATCCGCGGCCGGCTGTCATTCTGGCCGCCTGCGAACAGAAATTTTGAAGGTCGTCATGACCGATTAAAGCTGGCGGGGTTTGTTGCGGGTCAGTGGTGGAAACCTTCGTCTCACGATGACGCGCGAGAGGTACGGGAGAGGAGACCGATGATAGAGAGAGAGTAGCCAATTATACTTGATCGGCGCACGAGAACCTGATACTTTGAGTAATGAGCTCCGTCGTCGTGATTAATTGTTCTTAATTTTATTATAGCCCTCTCTCGCACCGCGCGCGGCACTCTCGCTCGATTGATTTATCCTACCGGCATTACGAACGTCACGATTCTCTAGGCTGCATAAATTTATGGGACACTAGATGCACTCGCGAGTGAGAGGACGACCATAGCCAGCTCGATGAAATACGATAAACACGCGCAATAGCCATGTCGTATAAATTTATACGTTTCTAGGATAACATCATCGTCAAGCTAGACGGTGTCGTATACATGGCGCGCATCATTTGATATCTCAAATATAACCCGTCGTCACGCGACGATAATCTGAGAAAATGAGTATTGTAAATATCTACAAAATTTAAAGATGATAACTTTAATTTACGTTATCTCAAATTACCTGTTTCTTGAAAGTGCATTAAGTTACTGGAGATTAGAGCGATAATCTGTGTCATGCAGTAAAATATTGCTAGATGTTCTAAGTAACTCCTCAATGAATGAAAAGATAAAATCACACTATTAGACTCGACTGTATCATTACGGTCGAGAGGAAATGATATTACGGGAATACGTTTATGTATTTTACTTTCATACCCACGCGGAGAAAGAGAATTAAGTACTCTCGAATAAACGTCCCACCCAATATAGCAAAAATCTTCCACCTGACAGACAATGCCACTTTTGTTTCCGAGCGCGATGTAAACGAACACGTAAGCCATCCAGGATGATAACGTTAAGTAAGTAGTCCCTCCTGTACACATCCGCTTTCCTATACATCACGGAGCAGAAGGATCCAGTTACGAAGTTGCAATTCACGTCGCGTCGTATCTGAGGTAAATATCCAGCATAGCGGGCCCTTCCCCACGAAAACGATGAAGGCCCGTCTTCACGAAATAAAGAAAGAGAGTCTCTTAACGAAGTCTTGCTCAGAGAAGGAGGAGCGTTTCTTTTCAAAGTCGAAGGGTGACGTATGAGGCGCCTTCACTTCGCATATCCGAGTGCTGACGAACACTTGCGTTTGAGTAAGGTAGATATCGGTCTGCTGCGGTCCGTGCTGTACTTATAACGATCGGTTATCGTTAAGCGTTGATTGCTATCCTTAGCGACCGTTCGTCAAGCACGGCAACGATCTGCCTTCTTTTGCGATTTATGAGAATAGCACAGCAATTAGGAAGGATAATTCACAGGAAGGCTGGAAGGCAGGTACCTTCGCGTAAAGTTTCCCAGGTAGCCTGTCGGCGATTAATTCTGTAACGTTTTCCAACGGCTCGAGGGATACGCGATCATCCCACTAGCACGTACGAACATACGGCGGTTAGCATTCACAAGTGGGCCGAGCTGTAAAAAGAATAATGATAAGGTTTTCATTTAATTCGCGGTCGCGGGACTTGACATATAACGTTACCGTAATTGACCATGAATGCTGTCGGATGCTGCTCGCGTACGTATGGCGTAAGGTTTCACGCGAAACTCGTACACGTGGGCAACGACGAAGACAACATACACGCGGCGGATGTCGTCGCTCACATGCACGCCGCGCTCGTACGTACGCCCAATATCTCGCGAGAAAACGTCCTGATAATGGCTAGTCGAGAGTACGCGTTTTCTCCGGCATTATCGAGGCAATCGACGTTTCTATCTCTACAGTCGGCGCCGTAAACGCGGTAGACGTCGGGTATTAAAGCCGCTCGTGCAAGCTGCAGGTGCAGCCAGTTATGCACGCGGTGATGCATAATGCGCCATATATGCGCTCCGCGCTGACGGAAGTACTGCTGACATCTCAAGTGCCGGAGAGCTTCGAGAGCCGAGAGAAATCTTACCGTCTCGTAATCGAGACGGATGTTCACCCGTGACAACATTTCAAATGGGAATAAAGATTTTCAAGCATATCTTTCAGGAAGTATGGTAATGCTAGCAAACCGCACGTTATTAAAGATTATTAAACGAATATAAGGAAAAAAAATTTATTTCTTAAAATAAGAATAAATTTACGATCAAGTTAAAAAATTTATAACATTGAAAAATTTATAGATTTATTCGTGAATTTTTACAAAAATTTAATAATAATAAGCTCTTGTAGGAAAAGTTACATAAAAATTTTAGACATATATTTTTATTTCCCTCAAGATTGAGGTTTCAAATAGAAATTAGCAATAAAATATTAAAAAACAAAATAAAATATGAAAGTAATAATTTTTATAACGTGGCTAACAGTGCACAATCAATGGATGTTTGAGAGACGTCGTTTCCCATCATTTTCCTTGCGGTGCCTAATTACGATGTACGAACGAGCATTACGTCAGGACGAAAATGCGAAACGCTGTGTCGGAATGTCCCGCGGCTGCACGACAGTCGGCAGGCGCCAGTATTCCCCAGTCATGTCGCATAAATACACGTGTCATGCTTCACGAATATACGCGCACGACACGGGATGGTCAGAACTCTTCTGGCTCGTGCACTCACCGTCTCTTCGTCTCTCGTGTTACCTGTCTGCATAATGCACGGTCGAATCCGCGACCTCCGCACTTTTGCGCTAGCATATTTCAAACAAGGAGACAGGTGACGCCTAAGTAATTTCTCGAGGAATATTATGTGCTAGGAAATTTCGTTCGAGTCCCTGCACAGAACGGTAGCTTGAATCGAGCTCATTCGGCATTTAAATCTTCGCCCTTTGCAAATTTCATTCGAAACCCATGCCGGCATATGCATATATGAATGTTGAATCAATCTTTTATATTGAATTCTTAAAACATCAAAATTTTACGAGTACAATTGCTTGAATGTCGCGTAATTTACGTCAATTTATTATTAAATAAGATCTTCATTTATAGCATTGGAAACACTTAATAGCAATTTGGTTGAACACACAGAGCGCAATAATGCATATTAAAGCACTGATTTAATCTAACAATGAATGTAAAAGTAAAATGCAATATATTGAATTATAAAATACGTACTTATGTAATTATTGAATTTCACAATTTAACCTATTTCTTTATTTATATTAAATCCCTCTATCTTTACGTCAATTTGTGTTTTTAATATACACCAGTGCGCACTCAGTGCATCCAATCGAATTCGTTATTAGAAATCGACAGATATCATAAAATATCTAAACATCCGAAGTATCTCAAAGATAAAATGCGGGTGTTATATTAGTTCTAATTCAAATCAAGCAAATAAGAACGAACAACTTCAATAAATGTGAGAAGTGCAGCCAGTATGTACGACGCCGTTCGTACTCGTTGAAGCGAATCGTTCATTCGCATTTGTTTGTTTACTTGATTTAGATCCGGTTTTATATTGAAAATTCATACGAAAGCGCTCACACGTAACTATCCTTCAATAATCTTCCACTTTCAGTCTTGTGACGTCTGTTGAAATAGCAAAAGACACCCGTCTCAAGCGTAACGCGGTAGGAGCTATTTTGAAAGAAATGCACTGGCGGTTGACAGCCGGGCAAAGATTCATTAAGGTTAAGAGATTTGCGAGTTGCGACGCAGAAATGGACTCGTGGCGAGTTTTCTTCCTAGATTTATTGTCGCCGCCGCGTATAAACCGTTGCACGCTGGAAACACACGTTAGCTGAGATGCTGTGAATCATAGAAATGGACATTTTTATCTCAGGTTTGTATTTCTGTTACAATTAATTCTCACTTTTTTATCAAACAGTATTCAAGCCGATACCCTTTGTCAAGAAATTTCCGGATCTTTTAATCGCTGTGAGAGCACACGCGCCCTAAAATTCTCAACAGTAAAAAAAAAGGGATACAGGAATGTGCATTCGGTGTAACTTTGTCCAAAAGAAACTCGCTTTTATGAGAATACCGAAGAATCCAAATGGCGAGAGCGACGTGCGACATGCAGATGCTAAAAGCGACGCGTTATTCTCTTGTAGTTTTATGCCGAGCTTCACGTGTCATTGTTTGAAAATGAAGTGACGTGCGCGTGGACTGAAGAAACACGGGTTATATCTCTCAGCTTCAATTGAAACAGATGTGAATACGAGCCAGGCGAGCAAGCAGACGAGATAAAATGTGGCGATTGTTACAAAGCTGTTTCTTCCAATTATGCAAATGATCATTTCGGTTCAGGAGATTCATGCGAGATGTAAAATGACGATGTAATGTGGATGTAACATAGCAACAAAAATACGTAGCGATGCAATCAAGGGCGAAACTTGTATGAAGCGAAATCCCATGTATAACGTTCATGTCAATAAGCGATTTATTTTAAACGATTCGTAAAATCTCGGATTTGATGAATGATTGACTCGTATTAAATCGTGACGTAAAATATTTCTTTATTTTTTACGTTACTCTCACATTGCTGAGCGATATACCCACATGATAATTAAAACGACTTACTCCATGAAATTAACTAACAAGATTCAAAGAGAGGGTATACGATTTCTATTTTATTGTTAACAAATTCTTATGTTTATACGTAACTACATATAATCTCGCAGCGTCCAACTACAATGCAAAAAAAGAAGGTAAAATCTCTTCGTGACCCGAACAAAGCGTGAGAAGCATAACATACCTGCGATGCAAATGCATAAAGCCACCGAAAGCGTTATTATGTTTTTACTTGTGTGCGCGCATTTATGTCGCCGTGGCGCGTGGGATTATTTTCCCGCTCGTTTGTACATATTACGCTTATGCGACACATATTCTCGCATTCCCGTGCCGCTTTTGGTCGTTGGGAAATGGTACAATACCGAATGAAATCGAGCGTATAAAATTTCATATCTTCTCCCTTTTAATTTCCCCGTCTCACCGATATGCTCCGCACGCATATTTGAGCATACGTTACCCTTCTTCCATTTCGCGGGAAATTTATGTTCGCCGTAATACCTTCGGGTGATGTACTTTCGATTGTGGCATTATTGAAGCTTTCAGTAAAAATTATGAACATATCCGGAAAATGGAAAGTAAATGATTTCGCTGCATTTATATTGATGAAAGCAGGGATTCGAATATCATTCCCTCCTTTAATAAAAGTTAAACTGTACATGTTTTTTTTTATCAGCGTACGGCTATTAATCGTTTAAATTTTTGAACCGACAATCAACATAATATTCATGCATATTTGCGCGATTTTCTACCTCGTTATCAATTCTATTCGTTCACCGTGCTTTCATGTCATGGTTTAATTTTTCAAAAAATCTGAAAAATATTTATTTCGAGTAAAATATAGCGTAGAGAAGCGACCAGTTGATTATACGAACGCTGTATATATTCATGCTGCGAAAAGCAGTCAAGGAATTAATCACGTTCTTCGCGGATTTTTCTCACGGGTCAGCAGGTTGCGCGATGTACGAAGGAGGATGTTGGGTCGACGAGTTGCTCGCAGCCGCATTCGGCGGAGAAGTGCAAAGGTTAAGAAGGACGTTAAATGCAAAGTTGGCTATTGTGAACGCGCGCGATAAAAGCGCGCGCGCCGCGCTTATTTTCTCGTATTTTTGTGTCAGACGTTGTTGTTTGAAAGTAGAACAACGCACGGCGAGGAACAGCGAGGCGAGAAATCCGCCTAGGACGTCGTTTCCCAACGCGTTATCCTGACGTGGCGCGAATTAAAAATTACAATTCACGAAATGCGGACGTTATATGTACGAAAACTTTCAACGATCGCAATTGGTGACGTCGCGTTTGCTGCGAGCCTTGGCATTTCAATTATTCCCGCACTATTATGCAAATAAAAGTTAAGTTAAAATGTGTTGAAATGATTTATACGAGTATTGTAACTTTAAATCGGAAAAATATGTCTAAAAATTCACTTTTGCAGAAGAATTTTGCAAAGGTCTAGAATTATGCATATTTCTTATTTCAATTCATAAAAAAATAAATTTAATCAAGTTGCAACTTACATAAAATAGACATTTAAGTTTATATGTATAAATTATTTATAGAGATTTCTTGCGACTTTCATTGTAAAACATTAACGAATTTATTACGTTAATAGGTTACTTGATGAATAACTTTTTCCTTATTATTTCTTTCTATAAACATCATTAATCAAATATTAATCAGAATAATTCAATTATCGATATGTAAATATGTATGTTTGCATATAAAGTAAATATATGAATTAATCGAAGACATCCAGCCGTGCGCGTGCGTGTCTTTTAACACCGAGTAGTATGACCCACTGACCCGCCCCACTGATATGTGCGTGGAGACGCACACGCATATGCAACGCGTACGCATGACGTGCAACTAATTTTGATCAAGATTTATGCTAAGATTAATAGTAATGTTTGGCAGTTTGTGTTCCGAAGCGAAAGTGGACGGATGTGCCGAATTGATATGTCTTATTTCATTAATCAACAGGATTTTTCTTCGTCTCTGTTCATACTGAAATTCACTAATCAAGTTTACAACAAATAACTTAGATAAATTTATAACATTTCCGTCTTGTACTCATTGCTTTGCAATTTTTTCTGTTTCTTTATTTCTTCATTCTTCTGCATTGCGTCAAGAACGAATAAAAACGGAATAGAAGCGGTCATCACTGTCGCGCAGAACGTAAAGAACTTGGAGAAAAATTGGAAAAAGATAAAAATATCTATGCCACACTTTAAGCAAAGACTTTTTCGCGGACGAGTGTTCTCTAACGAATCTGTCTAAATCTGTATTATTCTTTTTACAAAGAACGTAAACTCTACTAACACGAACATGATAATGAGTGTATCTTTAATTAACTACTTTCCGAGTTACTCTACTCTCTGTTCATCGTTTTGAAAAATCTAATTTTCAGTTCAAAAAGTAAGAAATCGGATTCCACCGAGAATGTTGAACATTTGGATGCAACAGCAGCGTCGCGACGTCGCGACACGAAGTCGCGTTCTTCAATGTGCCAGCTCTTCCTTCCCGCAGCTTCCATGTCCGCAATACGACGATCGAAGTATCCGCAGAGCAGTTTTTGCAAACGCAATTCAACAGATAAGATTTGTCGTGTAACAAAATCGCAAACTCGAAAGAAAGATACAACGATCACGTCATCATATATAAACAATTAATGAGAATAATTAAGTATACACCCGGGGAGAATAATTTTGCTAAAATATCTAAAATTTAGCTAAATACAGATCTGAAAGTAACTTCGTTAAACGTCAAAATAAAATAATTAGGAAACTAAGCATAATGAACAATGCTTGAAAAAAATTCAATATTCTAGCTGATTGCTAGAATATTAAAATAATTTTATTGAACTGTATCTAAATTTGCCACCCCGTGACAATTATACTGCTTGTACGTCTCGTTCACATCACTTTTTATGATAAAAAAATTATTTAATATTTCTTATCAAACGTTTAAAGCTTCAATACATTTTATTGAAATATCATGTTGTAGTATGTGATATATCGTTTCCTGCATTAAAATTTGATTTGAAACAGAGTGTTAAATTTTTTATCGGAGGTCAAATTCGTACGAATAAACGTTTCATAAGACCGTACAAAAATAATGATGGTGCAACGAGAGAGATCTTAGAATAGTAAACACGGGCAGACTCGCTCTTTTCTCGTGTCTTCATTCGTTCGGCGGAAAATATTTCGCAGGACACGTAGTGGTAACGTCATGTTTAGAACAGGAGGACAGTGAGCAGTCGAAACTTACTGGGTTTATTCTCGAGGGAGGTGGGTACGTTCTGACAGGACGAGCAGCACAAAAGCCCTGCCAACAGTAGCCACCTGGATAGCTCGGTCAATCTCTTCGATATCATCTGAAACAGCGAGAAGCAAATTGAATTAACCGCCGATAATTATATCACGTAGCTTTCTGCCCTGTTCAATGGCAGCTTTGAATCAAATATAGGAATCTAGTATCAATCACCGTTAGCATTTTGCTTTATATGGAGATTATCATAATAAAAAAAAAACTACGCAAGTTCTACGATTTTTTTATCATTCTGTGATATTTATTTTATATTTTTTTATCGATTTCTATTTTTGGCAAATTAAGGACATATTGTGGAATCTATTGCTGTACATACTTCGTCTATTAAATTAATTTTCCGATACTACCGATTTAACGAACAAAATGCAGAAGCCGATTTATGGAGGGATAGAACGTTTTTGTATCGCAGAGAGAACTGTAACACCTTTATTTTGAGAAACAAATAAATGTTATGTACTTGGCATTAAAAACGCGTGTCGTTATTTATATAGATAAGCCCCTCGAGGAGCTTTTTGCTTATCCACGGAACGAAGTAAACACGAGCGTGCATTTGTATTCGTGAACGAGAGGTATCATGTTCCCCATCGTTTAAAAGCTGCAACTCGGCTACGCGATTGCAGAAATGTGATTAATTCGTCTAATTGGGTATCCAGAGTGCAGTTGGCCGACACGATCAATGGCTAGGATGATGGGCTCGACGTTAATTACAGTTGTATAAATACGCGCACGCAAAATAATATCTGTTCGACAGTGCAGAATAAAACCCGCGATATCCTACAGCCAAACGTGATAATAATGGGATAAAATATTAGTTTCTACGGTAATCACAAATAGCCCGTTTTCTGCTTAACGTTATGTGTGCGCAGTGCGCGATCGAAATTAATATTAAAGTCAAGTACGTCGATTGTTTTCTGTAATAACAAATATATGAGAAATTTTATATGTTATACTTACCATCCGTAATGTAATCCTTATGTAATAAAATCCTTGTATAAATGTGAAAATATTCAAATAAATATCTGACGTAGATATTTATGATGCATGGCATCTAATTGTCTTTTCAAGCATTTTGCACATCAGCATAAATCATTTATTGAGGCGGTATGCCAAAAAGCACTATTGATCCTGCCAAGTTCTATATTCTTTTCATAACTTTTCTTGTTCTACTGCCAATGTGCTGTCAGATTATATACGAAAAAACGCATTATATAGAATGTATTATAATTATATAAAATTTTACACGTAGCGGCTCTATATCAGGCATTTACCTAATATTATTTGAATTTGATGAAATAACTACTTTCAAATTACCGAACATTTATTCAATGTATACGAAAGTCTCTGAAGAAAAATTTATTGAATGACACAGACGTGAACATCGCCGAATAGATTAAATAATTTGTATGATCCGATACGTAAGAATATCATGAATACACGAGTAACTATGGTGGGTATAGTACTAGTTTATAGTACTTGGACGAAACATAAAACCAGGCAGAATTTTGACGTGGCTACATTTTCCGACAAACCGATGTACTTTGCTCGGCTATTCACGAAATATATGAGCGAGGACCAATGTCCTTTATACGACTCCATGGAGAAGTGATCTCGATGTCTTGTAAAGTGAATCGTAAAGATCGTTGTTAACTGTTCTCTCCAAAGATTCTCGTTCCACCACCCGCGAAAGGTTGCCAGGAGTAATTTCTGACAGGTCGTGACCTGCCCCAATCGACCGGCGGAATCGTCTAATTGTGTTCCCACGACCGAATGCGTAGGTACAGAATCCTCACCGAATTCTCGCGGTTCTCGTATTAGTGAATGTCCCCTGAGAGAGAGAGAGAGAGAGAGAGAGAGAGAGAGAGAGAACTTTGGCTGATAACGAATTTACCGGCGAACGAAATCTGATTAAGGAGACGCGATTGCTTGACAGCCTCGGAAATTCAGTATCGATTTTTGCGTAATACTGCAGCTGCATATTTTAGAGATATATACAAATTCTCCGAAAGCCCTGCGGATTATATAACGTCAAATTTGCACTCCATTCCAATCTCCAATTTTTATTCTAAATTAGAATTGCACATTAAATACAGTATAAATGGAATAAATAATACGGTATTATCTTTACATGCTAAAAAGTGATGACTCGAACGAGCAACCGTATGTTTCTGTAAGATCGAGGACAACTCCCAGGGGCTAGACGCCTCGACGTTCATCGATCGACGAGAATTCGATCGTACCTGTTAACGACCACGTCGAGAAAGTCTTTGAAGCGGGGCCAGACGCGAATGGCCGTAGCGGCTGGGTCACTGTCACTAACCGCGAAAATTATACATTCGCGTACACACAGACAGGACTTGCGACTTCAATTGGCAGAGGAAGAGAAAGATGGATAAGAGAGATCGTTTATCTAAATTTCTCATACTTTACGATACAAAGGAAATACACGATATTACTTGTACATGACATACGGTATATAGTCGTATATATAAAGTGACAGTTTAGCTATTCTTCACGCGACTTCAAACGAACAAGACGATGACATCACGCGTGTAGCAACATGACATCCGTTCGCATACTAATGATTTAATAAGTAGCTATCTATAGCTTAGAGACATCAAAGACTTATCGTAATCTAGTAATGCACTCACTCTGGGGGAAAGTAGGATATCCTGTGAAACACAGCGTCCTGTAATCTCTGCATGACCGATTAGATCGCGTTGTGCCATGTGGAGTATGACTCCCAATTCGATTATAATATTTATTAATTAAATTCAGAGCAGTTTCAAAAACAACTCCGTAAATTAATAAATTTATTCATCATAAAAATTACGTTAAAAAGCAATAATAGTAATTTGAATTTCAAACAAAAAATGCCAGATTTTAATAAGTTAATATCCTTAATTCCATTTTATTTTTAATTTCATTTTGGCAAAAAATATTATGAAAATACAGAATAATTATAACATATTTTAAAAATATCTTATTTTAAAATATCTTTTCAAATAACAGTGTAATTTCAAATTTAAAAATTTGATAAACTAAAATAAGTTTGAAGCTTTCTTTGACTCTATTTCAAACATATATTTTAGTATGTATGAAAAATTTGAAATTCAACTGAATTTATACATTCAATGAAGAGTCCATTTTATGCACGGAATATTTGTTGCTGCATTTATTTAAAAAAAACTATTCAAGACGATATGAACAAATTTTTTGTTTTGCCTTGAATTGCATGAAGACAAAAATGGAATGGCAAAAAAATTTGTTGTCGCTGCATCTGTTAATCAACTCATTAAATCGATATTGCCGAATTTGATGTACTCGGAATGGCTAAAATTCTCGAACGTGCGAATGTTATCGGCGAAGCGCGATCGACGATGATACTTTCACCTGCGTCAGGTGCGAATGAATCGACTCGCTCTCGAGGCTCATAAGCGAATCATTTCCCCTGATTATTGACGCACGCGTTCTCTCAAGTAATATTGCTTAATGGTGATTCTTAAAAATACCTAAATTGTATTGCATAATTAGAATAGATTGGGCTCTATACAAAGAAAACTATAATATAATAGAAATTTCATCATGGTAAAAACCGATGGAATATTTCATTAAATTAACATATAACTCATTTTTCAAAAGATATATTCAAGATATACATACAATTCATTGAATTTACATAATGTCTAAAGATAATGTTCTAACAATAAGTGAGAGTTAAGCAACATCGAAAGGGTTTCGACAGGGTTTCCGAAAGTTTGCTGTTTGAGTAGGGTCAAAACATTATTATGCACGAAGACACGAGAAACTGGACCATGACAAAGGGCTACATTGCAGGACGGAAGCTTGCTGAAAGTTGCTTTCGTCGTATTTGCACGTAGAATCGTGGCATAACGAGACACACGTGCTAACGGTAGACGCTGCTTCGGGCGCCGATCTCCTCTTGAACGAGATTCTCAGAAAGAAAGAGCGAGATGGAGAAAGAGGGAAGAAGAAGGAAAAGAGAGAGGCAAAACACTCGGACGAATGAGCAAAGGCGACCGCTTTGTGCGAAGCCGCCTTTAGAATCGATGACATCCGACCTTGAAGATCAAATCAGAATCGAATCACGATAGCCTCGATGATATTAGACTTTCCCGATCATGCCGAAATGTGAAGAAATTCCGTGGCTTAGAAGCGAAATTTAAAGATAGACAAAAATCTTGATAATAGCGACTTTATGATAATTTTACCATATTTAAATACGTTGACTAAAGAGGTCATGAAAAAAAATACATGCTCAAAGAAGTTACGATACGGAATAGAAATTTGAGTGAAATATCGGAGAAGACAATTCTGATGCGAACGCTCGAAATTTCTGATTTATCCTAGTAACATACATTAACGCGGTAATTAATTATATCTTATGATAGTAATATATAAGATATTTACTATATAAAATATATTAATTCTGTTCTGTAATTATTTTACATTTTTTATTTCTAGTCCCGTTCTATTTCTTTTTTAAATAAATTTAAATAAATTTAAATAAAAATTTTCCTACCTCATGTAATGAGTGGTTCATCCATATAAATAAATCTATCTGTATAAATAAATCTAGATCAAATATTGATCAAGTTAAGATTAATATATCTATAATCTCGTTTATTTTTTATATTCACGTGGCTATAAATATGCCATATATTTTATAAAGATTTATGTAATCAAACTTGCAAAAAAGTTAATCACTAATTATATGTGTGTGTATTTATGCGAGTATATAATATTTACTCGAAGCGCGTGCGCATATCTAATTTACTCTCTAAATGATCGTTAATTCATAATTAATACTCATATATTTTCATGTTTTTCTATCCGATGTAGACGAAAGTCTGAGAAGAGAAAGTCAAAGGACGTTCGAGATATGGACTTCTAGAGATACGTGCAATTAATGATAATTAATCAAGTCATTTCTGCGATAAGACATATAAATATATTAGAAAATCAAACTATGAGAAATGTCACGTGCGTGGCTTAATTATCGAAAAACGATACACTTCGATATATTCA